TAGCAAAATACGCGACCGCGAAAATACTTCAAATTAAGCGGGATTTCAAAATAACCGAGTTTGAATTATGAGGTTTTACTACACTAACATTACGTATACACGAATGGCTCGACGGCTGCCACTTGTCCTGCTTAATGGACATTTTCATAAATTGATGCGTGCCCTCCTACGGAAAGCATTATGCATCTTATGGAAAGCATTATGGAAAACCGGAGCACCGGCGGAGTGTCGTATGCTCGCGGAAGCGTTGGCTCACCCCATTTCCCGCAGCGCACGGGCGTAAGAACGCATCGTTGCGGGAATGTCGCAAGTCATAACCCCGCTTTAATCTGCACTCATAGAAGAGGCACCACCCAGAGCAACTTGCAGTCAGGAAACACTAGTATTATTGACTTAATAATGACTTGGGAAATTGCTCACGTACCCACAAAAAGGCCCATTGAATTGGAAATTTTTATATTATTCACTGTTCTACTCCAGGCTAAGTTATTGTATCTTGTATTGGGGAACAACGACAGCACAGAACTATAAGAGATTACTCACATTACAGAAAAAAGTACAATGACTAATCGAAGGATACTATGGTCACCCACAAAATTTTAGCACACGTCGGTTATTTTCCAAATACTTTTTATTACAAGCAAACCAAATATATTACTATAAGTTACTTTTGTACATAAGAAATAACAAACTATACACCATGTTTGATTCTTCTCGGTGTGCTGAGTACTGTCTCCGTACACCTGGCATAAAAACACCGAGAACTAGGGCCACCTATGGTCAGCAACATACCGACTATCAAATACCCAGTCTTCTCAACAAACTTGAAAATGTAGTTGACTTAAATAAAAATAATTCCAAAAATACATTCAAGGAAATTCTCCTTCATAATTGCATTGAATATGTTTAATATAGTATATCAATTAATTATTGCTTTATGTGTACTAATTGTTAACTGTATAGTTTCAATGCTGTTATTTGCTTTAGAAATGTATATGCCTGCAAATGTGTTTTTGATCTCAATTATTTTACATATTACGATAATAATGTTTTTCTTTAATGGTATTTTGTCGTGTTATGCATATTGTTCAGTTCTTTTTTACATTGTAGCATTTATTTGTCCAATTATCATTTGCTAATTGTTAGTCTTTGTGTAAAAAGTTGTTTTTTATCTGCATCCAAGTTGTGTACCAGACTGTATATCGGAGCAAAAGCCTCCGTCAGGAGGCTTTTGCTCCGATATACAGTCTTTACAGCCTTTTGCTTTTGCTTCGTTTTTTCCTATGTACAGGAAAATAAATAAATAAACCTCAAATAAACCTCAAGCCTCAAATTTATCTGTGCTTTCGCGGTGAGTCCCCTGTGCTTCGTTGATCGTATTTCAGCGTAGCAAAAGATTTTGTCATTTGTTTTATCGTCAGTATGGCCATACAGCTTCATTATTAGTACTTTATGTCGGGGACTGTCACTCGTGATATGCTTCCATGCGATACTCAGTGCAAGACCATGCACTTCGCGAATATTAATGTCAAAATTCCACCCTTATAGATGAGTTCGATACCCACTATTTCAATACTAATTGCCTGTTTCAAATGCTGCGTGTGAGAAAGTTTGCACTTGGAACGCAGAGAGCAGTGAAAACCAGCTACCAACACGTCCATAGAGTGGATACTTCGCATGCAGTATTTGCTTTCAAACAGCGTAAGACCTGCTGTCTCTGCGTAGTTCCTGTTTCAACGACTGTGAGTTGGAAGTGAACTTAAGAATTTTGGACCTGGCTGCGCAAAAGGTCATGACTAGTTAACAACTGGAGGAAATATACAACGGAATGAGCGTCAGTGTGCATATCACACAATATTCTATTTTACTGCTTCCGCTCCCGTGACCTCTTGTTTCATTACAGTTTATGTAATGAAACAAGTTTATGTAATGTTTCATTAGGCCATTTCTGCCTATGTATTAGGCATTTCTGCCTATGTATTAGGCATTTACATAGGCATTTCTGCCTATGTAAAAGGCCATTTCTGCCTATGTATTTCCCATGTGCGGCACTTCGTACGTGTGCTGAGGAGTTCGTCATCTAGTAGTGCATTAGCATCGACGGCGTGGAAGGGCTGACTCCTAAAACTCGAGTGCACCACGATGCCGCTTTTAAAAGAAAAGTCATCGCGTGTGCAGAAACGGACGGAAATCGGGCCGCATCGCGGTCGTTCGGAGTTCCCGAAACGTGCGTGCGGGACCGGCGGAAACAAAAGCACAAGATTGTCGACAGCAAACCTTCACGCAAAGGCTTCAGTGGACCACAGCAGGATCGGTTTCCGCAAATTAAAGAGCTGCTCGGCGAGTATGTGCTTGAGCAGCGAGCGGCACAGCGGCCCGTGATGACAGAACTGCTCCAAGTGCGGGCTATGCAATTAGTCTTAGAAAAAGGTCGAATGCGGAGTCAGTTTAAAGCGAGCAGGTGTTGGCTAACTAACTTTATGAAGAGGAAAGGCTTTTCCGTCCGAAGGGGAACATGCATATGCGAAAAGTTTTGCGGAGGAATACGATGAAAAGCTTCACAGTTTTCAGAAGTTCGTCCTAAACTTGCGGCGCAAAAACGGCTACCTGCTTGGGCAAATCGGGAATGCCGATCAGACACCTCTTTACTTCGACATGCCTGGCACCACAACCGTTGAGAAGAAGGGGGCGAAGCAAGTTCATGTGCTGACATCGGTCCACGGTAAAACTACAGTGACGGCAATGCTCTGTTACACGTCAGACGAGCACAAGCTTCGCCCGTACCTCATATTTAAATGGAAGACGCTCTCGAAAGGAGTCGTTTTTTCGAGTGGTGTGATCGTGTGGGCCAGCGAGAAAATTGGGTGCCCGTTGCAATCGATGTCTTACGTTTTCTTTTTTTTCGTGGTGGAGATCGGGTGTGCGTTACAATCGAGGGCGCGGTAGAATGGAGTAAATACGGTACTAGCGTTAATCGGCCTGTCATGCAGAGCTTACGTGTAGTTATGCCCGCACGAAGCCTCATGAGACGAGGCGTCTCGACTTCTTTGCCACGCGTAGAAAAGCAGCCTATTCGAGCGCGGTATGGGCAAAGCTCAACACCCATCACTTATTCAAAGAACGCCACAGTTTCACATACAGTTGGGATTTGCAGCTAGCCAGTCTACAAAAGTGATGCACTAAGAGTAGCAGATTCCGATAGCACAAGTTACAGCTGCAAAGGGGCGGAGTGCAACCCACACAATTTCGAGGCACGTGTCATTTACAATGACACGCGCGTCCATATTTTTCCGTATAGCGATTAACACTCCACCACCAAAATGGCACTAAGAGAAGATAGAGGAAAGACAAAAAAGGAAAAGAGTGCACAAGGACACTTCAAGGTACTATGTTGGAGCTTTTTGAGGAAAACACATGTGCTGAACTTTCAAAGCCCGTTTTCTTAAAATGAATTTTCTAGCTAGTTGTGGTGCTGAGGAAAGCGATTTCTCAACAACTGGTAATCGGGTTTGTGTGCTGTGTTCTTTATTCTGTTTCTAGATTATTTTGCCAGAGTCTAACAATCTTCTTTGTTTTTGAAAATTGGTGCCATTATTATTAATAAACATTTAATTTTTGATAAATGTCATAATTACTGGCTACATCAAATTCAAAGTTGCATAAAAATTTTTTGGAGGGGAAATTGAAAATAACGGCTCTATAGTGCCCTAGAATATCTATCCAGGGATGACCACAAATAATTTCAGCCTTCTGGTATGTCCTGGGATTTCTTCCAGCTCTTCCTCAGGGATACAAGTGAACCACCCAGTTAGACCTCAGTAACTCTAGAATCGCAAAACACATTTTCATAAAACTTTGCAGTTTTTCTATATTTAATGTAGTGAACATACCCTGAAAGTTAAGATATCTTAAAAAATAAAAAAGTACTGTTTCCGGGTAGCCTGCCACTTTAACGCACCTACGGGATCACTTGCTTTACGCAGTGTAGATCAATCCAATTTATGAATCATGGTCACGACGGAAAACTGTGAACTCTGTTCCAAGTGCGTAGTTCTTATAGTTATTGACACATTTTACGACACCGTAATTCATACCCAACATTGCAAAACAATGCTAACAACCTGAAACGTCTCCGCTTGTGGGTGGGCTACTCAACATTGCACAACAACTTATTTCGTTCACTCTCATGCCACGGCGCCACTGGCTCAATGCACATTTCTTACAGTTGTCAATTTTTACGTAGCTAACAAAGGTGTCACAGTGACCTTCAACCAACAGCCTTGTGGTACAGATCGCAAATGTGTTACACGAGCAGTTGTGCTTAACATCATCTGTGGTGATGGTTCTCATCTAATGTGAATTGTTGCTGCAGTGTTGGCTATTCATTCTTGTAAATTAGGATAGATGTGTTTGTTTTACAGAGGACATTAATGAAAAAACAGATTTTTTTCAAAGCCTTCAACAGGTGCCCCTACCCCCCCTTTCCCTTCCGGGAAAAATTCCTGGCTACACGCATGCCTGAAGCGCTGCTTGTTCCTGCATGAATATACGAGCAAATGCTTATGATACGCACATCAGCAGACCACTGTGCGCACTTCATTTTGATAAAAACAAACATCTCTGAGCTAACATGAGTGCCACTTTAGGTCACAGAATAAGCATGTCCTTTACGCCTCCATGCTCCATGCTCAGCAGGCCATGCTGCGCATCTAGTCTCCATGCGCATCCAGTTTACGCATCCAGTCTCCATGCTCAGCAGGCCAACAATATGCACAAAAGTACCCAACATACACAAAAACAACCTACCCAATGTACACAAAAACGTTAACCCACCTTTCGTGTAACGCTTGGCTCAAAGCCAAACAAAATGTGGCACTAGCTGTGACTTGCAAGCTGTTCCACGCAAAATTGATTTCCAAAAAGCGTGGTATCTGCTTCAATTTTTTCTGGCAAGTATTGACCATACTCTGCATACTATATTTTCCGAATGCTATACTTACACTGCTCACTTCCCAGATTTTCAGTGTTTTGTCATCTGAGGCGCTGACCAAGAGTCTGCTGTCCGTGGACCATGCAACATCAGAGATTCCCTGCACAAAATTTCACGATTCACTCTTTAGGCATTGCCATATGTTTAGGTCAATTCCCAACAAAACTTTTTAAGAGTAGAATTGTAATTTTAGGGCCCCATTCACATCACCTACTCACTTGCTGGCCAAGCTTCCCTTTTGGTGAACACCTTAACGATGCTGCGAGGAAACGAATGTCTACGCAACATAGGCAGTTTTAGACCATCTTGAAACACCCAGACCAATATAGGTTTAAAAGTGTTCACTACACCATAATTCTTCATTATGCTTGTCAAGCAACACATGCTCCAATGCAGCCGAATACCAGTTGATGTTACCGTTAATGATCATGATTAATCATGAGTTTCGTAATGGGTGGACCTTTGAACCACGCATTCATGCACAATTCACATAATGTGATGCCTGGTGCAATTCCATGCATCTGCCACACAACACAACTCTTTGTGCTATATTACACCTCTACAGGGCTTTTCTGCTGAAACACCATAAAGCACAAGCGTGGCTCTATCATTTTATTTCCATCTATAGCGATTTTTCGCTCAACGACAATGTTGACATTCCTCTCGCACATCATTTTATTTCCATCTATAGTGATATTTCGCTCAACGACAATGTCGACTTTTCACTCACATCCAACAATGACTATGCCCACACCAGAATTTCTCCCGAACAAGCTCTTTCAGGAGATGCAACAGCCAAAGTAAGAATCGGAGCAATTCTTGGTGCAGCAAAATTTTGCTTTTAGCAAGAAAATCTCCATTTCGAGAACATTGCAGGAAACAAAATACTTTTTCAGCATGAAATCCCAATATTAGAGAAGCTAAGAAAGAATGCATACTTACAGGAAAAAAAAAACAATATTGCCAAATGCACTTAGTTTTCTATTTTTTATATTACTAGCCCATAACACTTGTAACTACTGCCAAGCACAAACCTTGTATAACTACTGCTATGTGCAAATGGGGAAGTTTCCAGGTTATTTCAGAACTTTTCGATATGATTACACACGGAGCACGAACATTGGAGCTTGCCATAAAATTTCTAACAAGCGCCCCTTGTCCCATTTTCGAGAAACGTTAAACACACATGTCCCCATCCCCTCCCGCCATTTTCACTGTTTAATTTACTTCTTCAGTGAGACAGCAATTATATTAATGCTCTTGGCCGATTTGCATCCCGGATATCTAAATGCATATAGCACAAAAAAATAATTAGAAGAAAAAACACAAAACACTCAACCATGGACTTGAACCACTGACCCTTTGCTTCAGAGCACACTACGTGCCATGCGTGCACCAGTGTAATAATAGCAACCTATTGAGATACACCATAAACCGCTCGCAGATCTCGGTACGCAGAATCTCAAAGGCACTTAAGTAGGCTTTTTTTTTTTACCACGCAACACTCCGTCTTTTTCAATTTGAAAACTGCCCTTCAGATGCACACAAAAAGTGGGCCCTTTCTGTGCCCACTCGTGGTGTGGAAGGAAAAAGAAAGAAAAAAATACACACATACACACACACACTGCAGCAGATGCTACCCCATGGCAAGAAACACAGAGGGATCACTCCATGTGCCACACTTTAGAAGAAAAAATATATATATCTAAGAGCGTTAAATTCTGCATCATCAACACTTCCAGCGCATTGTTTAAACACAAACACGTAACGAATGTTTGAAATATCATAGTTTAACATGTTTGAAATATCATAGTCAATTTTAGTTTAGTTCACGCTGACAATTTTTAGTTTAGTTCACGCTTGTACTGTGTATACATGCACATTTTTTTTCAGTGTTCTTCTCAGTGCTTCGGCGGCAAGCTGCAATTATCGAGCTGCTAGTCACTTTTCGTGTGACATTCCATTTTTTTTTTTTTCGGCTATCCCATTCAGTTTTTCGTTCTTGTGGCAAAACTGACTTTTTTTTTTTTGTCCACCTGAAGAAGTGAACAAAAACAGTTGAATGCGTGCATAGTCAATAAAGCGTTTCCTTAGAAGCACTAAAGGTGTTCATTCTTTATTTTTAGCAGTTCTTTCACCACCATCTTGAATTTTAATTTACCACCGAGCAAGGCCCCCCCCCTCCTCTCAGGGCTACAGAAATGTGATACACTGCTTTGAATGTTTGCCCCAGTAAATTTTTTCAATTTTAACTCATCCTTGTAATTACACAGTGCAAGGACATGAGTAATTAAGAAACAAAATGTGCTGCGTTCAGTGACAGCCAATACTAATAAACCCCCTTCTAAATTTTAGTATGATTTTTCACAAGGCAACTGTGTGCTGCAGTGAAAGTGACAAGTATTTTGCACATGATTGAAGAAGGCCAGCAATTTTTTTAAAACTGCTGTCTTTTCTTTTTTTCCTTCATGATGGGATTAGGCTCTGTGCTTCTGGAGTGGATTGAATGATGATTCTCAAACAACAGGTGGCCACAGCAACTCCATTTTAGGGGCCAAGCTCCTCATGGCATGGCTTGTGCGTCCCCTGCTGTCACAGTGCGTAACCTGTAGCACATACCCGCTCTCGAGCACATATCCGCATGTCTACATGTTACGAAAAACGTAGCACGGCGTCGTTATCACGCTCTGGTGTTCACAAAGCACTGACAGCAGAAATGTGGCACATACACTCGTTTAGTCCTTAGATTGTCCGCTGGATGACGGTACTTGTATATGATGAATATATGATAAAAAGAAGTGAGATGGCGGTACCTGAAGTGTTCACTAGATGGATGGATGGAAGGACGGACGGACAGACAGACACAGACAGACAAGCAGATGCACGGACAGATGAACGGGTGTACACACGGAGGACGCACAAACGGGCACACGTACGGATGGACTGACATATGGACGGACATATGCACGAACGGGCTCACGTACCGACGGAAGCAGAGACGGATTGACGGACGCTTTGCCCCACTCATCATCATTCATTCTGTGGATATATTGTGATTTTTACAGCAAAAGCTGCTATCAGATCACAACGTGGGCCGATTCTGGCGCCATAGTTGTCTGCCACCGTCGCTGTCCGCAATCTCTATCATCCAAAATAAGAAAAAGAAACTAAATAAATAAAAAAAACATAAAGGCAATGGAATCGAACATTCGAAGTAGAGCAATGGGCGTGAAAGCCCTATGCTCTACTACGCCAGTATTTTAAAGAACTATGTGAAAAACTTACCCTCTGCAGGCTTCATACCGGGTAAGGGATCACACTAATATGTGTAATATCACGCTTTAGAGCAGAAGAGTAACAACCAGACATTCCACAATGCGAATTCCATAACGAGTGCATCGTTGAATGCTGCAACCCATTACATAACTCTTGATCGTCGTCAGCCACAGCATCAACAAAGTGCACACAATGTCTTACAAGTATGGGGCAGGTAGCCTGCTCCTCTGAAGAATGACAAAGAATGATGCAGTGGACAGTTCGCCACTACACAAAAATGACGATAATTATTGGGCAGTGGGTGCCACGCAAATGTGCTTGAAGTAGTTGCCCCAAGAGTGCTTAATAAAAGGCTCTAGGAAGGCCGCTCTTCCACCTTTTGTTGTGACTGTGCTGCGCGCTCCGAGCAGGTGCATGGCGGCTTCTTGTTAAATTTAGCGCAACTAAGAACTTTTGGGGCTAGTCGGGCACTTAGGCACAGCATGGCACAATTTCAATGCATTTCAAGGTTTTTGCGTAACTTGGTGAAAAAAAAACTGTAATTGTATCCTATTGAGGTGCTATTCCTTATGTGCCGCTGCTTCACCTTTAACACTTCCACACTAAATTGAGAATCAAGCAAGCTGGCAGGAGTTATGCCGTTCAATTATTTTACATCAATTGTTGAGAAAAATTATTTTCCACCAACAATACAGTCGTGTTTTCCCATGGCAACGAAAACAGCGCACTAAAAAGAGACCCACAAGGAAGAGTATGGGACAGAGTTTCACCTGAAAAAGTTTAATGAGACTGGCTTTACCAGGAGTGCAACAGTCAAAACAAAATTTGAAGCAATTTTCAAAGCAGTAACATGTTACTTTTGGAGCACTAAAACGCAAATTTAGAGCAGGTTACGGCAAAAAAGAAAAAAATTTATCACGAACGATCAAATTTGGAGCAATATACAGAAAGCCTTACAGTAAAAAAAGAAAATATGTACAAACCTTTCAACAACACCTGAATTGTGCTGAGCGAACGTGAGCACTGCTATTTCAATAAAAGTAATATTTTGAACAACCCCACTGAGCAAACAATTATGAACTCCACATTAGCAGCTGCCACACCAGTCAAATCCTTAGACTCTGCAAATTCAAATGTGATTCTGCCAAGCTGGCAACCCTGCAATTCAGAAGATTTGTCAAACTGAGGAGTAGGAAGGGCAAAAAAAAATACTAATGCACAATGTTTTTTAAGGCTCCAGAATTGTCAAACTGCTCCAAATAATCGCCAGTAAGCCAGTAACCTTTTTAGACGACAGCAAACATACTAGTACTCACAATTACGCAGTGTATACACGCATGAGTAATTTTTTTAAAAATGTGCCGTGTCCTGCGACTAGTGCTAACAGCCCCTCTCAAATCCGAATATGGTCCCGCCGCAGTGGTCTAGCGGCTAAGGTACTCTGCTGCTGACCCGCAGGTCGCGGGATCGAATCCCGGCTGCGCACTGCATTTCTGATGGAGGCGGAAATGTTGTAGGCCCGTGTACTCAGATTTGGGTGCACGTTGAAGAACCCCAGGTGGTCGAAACTACCAGAGCCCTTTACTACAGAGTCTCTCATGATCATATGGTGGTTTTGGGACGTTAAACCCCACATATTAATCATCATCAAATCAATCAAAAAACATCGACGAGTTTCTCATAGACTCGATGCGAGGCGAACTGCCCAACAGGCCTAACTAAAGAGACCCTCAAGCCATCACATCCTTTCGTACTCTCCCTACATTCTTCAGTTAGTACGTTAATCAGTACGTTCCATCAGTACATTCCATCAGTACGTTCCAC